CTTCGCCATTATATGCATTTCAAGTTTAGAAAAAAACTTTCATTACTAACTTATATGATATCGGCTAAAACACTTGAACTAATCGCAACATAGAAATATTATTTTATCAATTTCAACCTTAGTCGATCCAAAGTTTAAGAAAAATGCTTTGACGGATGAAAAAACCTTTCAAGGGGGAGATTCTGTAACCAGTTAGCGACAAGTTTCGGATCGATATCGCACTTGTTGACGTAAAAATATTTCATATCATACGTCAACAAAACCGACACCGATTCGAAAATTGTCGCTAACTGGTTACAGAATCTGCACCCAAGCCTATAAAAATAATATCGTCCGATTCAGGTGGAACAAAAATGCCTCAAACAAGTAAGGGTATTAAAAGCTCTATTGGCACCTACATATTTTTGGCCTATGTGCGCTTTTATTCGGAAACTAAACGTTTCGGTACCCAGTATCGAGAGTATTGGATACTTTTTAAATCGGTACCGAATATCGATTTATACTTAAAAGTATTGACTCAGCACATCATTACTACATAGAGCTGGGCAATTACAGAGCAGAAGCTCCACAGATTCTTCTGCATACCCTACAGAATTGTAGGCCTTTCCATCTATTATAAGTAAGTCACCTTTTTCCAGTGCTGAAATATGTGTCTCTTGATATAGCTCAGAGGCACAAGAACCTCCTGTGCCTCTGAGATATTCAGACTGATATACTGTACCCTGGTACCCAGATCAGTGCACCGACATGCCTATCAGCTAAAGCCATAACGTTATCTCTGCACTGTTTTATTATGCTATCCGAGAAAATAGCAATGCTGGTCCCGGCTAGCTTTGAGATTAAAATTATTTTGCAAGCCTCTTTGACGGCAAAGACCTCCGCCTGGAAAACACTGAACGAATTCGGTAGTCGAATAGACTCTTCGATTTGGAGATCAGCTGAAAAAATTCCCGCCCCTGCGCCACAATCCATTTTTTAGCCGTCCGTAAAAATAAATAATTCAAAGTGTTCATTAAAAATAGGCTCCTTCCAATCCTTTCGTAGTGGAAATATCGTCCCGAAGTTTATCTTTAAGAGAAGCGAAGGACAAATGTAGTCAGACTTTTCGCTAATGCTTGGGAACAAGATACGGCCATACCCGTACGAACGTTCTTTCCACAGTCTAAATTCCCTCAACCGCAGGGCACCCTGTGAGGCATTTTCCTTAATAAAGACATCAGATGATGATTCAATGCCGCCGTTGGACATGATCTGATCGCCCCAGTATGTACATCCATAAGATAAGATCAGGTCGTAAACCCCACTCTGCCCTAGCATATTCTTGCAAACATGTTTTGAAAAGAGGATTTATAGACCTTTAAAATTATGTATAACAATACAATGTTGGAAGTTTTTATTTGGATAAATTTTAAAAAGCCCCTATTCTTCTTAATCTTCTTGGTTAAATCGCCGATTTCAAAAATTTCTATGAAAGTTGCCAAACATGTAGTGTTTACCTAAAATTACAGTACATACATATGTGTCTTAACGAAATTATGATTCTTGTTTGTTTGATACGCGGTTACGAGGACGTTAAATTAGATTACGTGAGAACTCCGGTATTTCTTATATTGTCCATTATGTTACCACTGAATACATATTTCATGGTATGGTAATTGCAGATATTCCATATGAAGTTATAAGACAACGCACTGTAGATTAAAATAAAGTTCTACCGTCATCATCTGTACAGCAGCAGTCTACAGGTCGCCGCAGAAACTCCTATATCCTCCCCCATAAGGGTGTCCTGTCTAGCCAATTAGTCAGTCATGCAGTTTATCCATTCCCTTAGAAAGGGATCCAAACATAGCCAGCCTGGAAGCGCTCCAAACCGCTTCTTGAAGTATAAAGCGCCCCGACCCAACTTTTAACTTAGGTCGACTTTTACAGTGAACTCTTCCTGACAATGACTTCATCCAAAATATGTTACTGGCTAAAATACAGTTTAACGCAGATAGCAAATAACATTTAAACTGAGAGCCCACCTCTTTTCCATGGTGGTTTTACAGCAGTATAGAGCAGCTGATGAATTTTTAACCGCTCCTAAATTATGACTTAGGGCCGGTTTCTCAATGTCCATAACATATACCGGAGACTTAAAGGACTTAAAAGAGTTAATCGATCAAGCGGTATATCTACGGTAGTTCACCAGAGGAAAAAGGGCAGTCCATTGGGTCGAGGACGGTAGATTTACGAGGTTCAGGATTTGTTAGGAAACGAGCATCGATATCAGGAGGAGATCAATATATTTTGCCTTCCTCGTTCGATGGTGCTGGGATCGACTTTTTACATCTCAACGTCACCTAGCAGCAGAAATATGTTTCTTCGAACAAACGTTTTCTCAGACGTAATTTCGTAATTCGGTTCAGATATACCCAGAAAAAATCAGCTAAATACATTTCTCTCGACACATGATTTGGTTGTAGTCACATTATATGGTTATAGTTTCCAAATCATATGTTGAGAGAAATATTTTTAACTGAATTTTTTCTGGGTGTAGTTCCACAATAAAATAAGTGTAGTATATGTAAATATTAATACTTAAAATACAATGAACATATTCTTTCAGATCGACTTAGTTGACTTGGGTCAACAGCACTATCCACGTTATTTAATGAATGCCGTTTGTCAAAGCAATCAATCGCCAAATGAATATCCGCAGAAGTGTTGGCGTGGATCCTACTGCAAGCCATTGGAATATAAAGTGAAAGTACTCACACCTCGAACTCTCTTAGATCAGGCACAAAATGACCCGGCACTGGCATGGTTACCCGATGAACTCAGACAAGATTGGAAATTCAAAACTGTTGCAGTTGCGGCTGGTTGTTTTTGTTCATATTAAATATGAATTTGGCGACCATATAGAAAACACAGAACTGACATGGAATAAATCGTTTACAGATTAACCGTTAATTATAAACACATATTCAAGTACCTACCCACATATGTACATATATTTTTTGATGTTAGATTAGTGTAAATACGAAGGAACTGCAATGCAAATGTGTAAAAAACACTAACAATATGATTAAAAATTGTTCTTTATTCTACAGATATTTTTCAATTTTTTTAAGTACAAAATTGAAGCAAACACCTATCCACGAAACCGTAGATTTATGGGGTTTCTTCTTTTTATTTGGCGTTGTTACCGCCTAAGCGTTTTTGGCCGAGCTCAACAAATCATGACAGTCGTTTCCTTTTGTACCTCGAGGGGGGACTTTACTCCTAAATTGCCTACATAGTCAAAATAAGCACTTATTGGCAAGAGTGATTCTGCGTCGATTCTGCTGGTTCCCAAGTAAACAAATTTCTCTTCTTTCCCGAAATTATGGGCTGGTTTCTCCAACTCAACTTAACTTAGTTAAGCCTATTTTCTTGACTTAATCAAGAATAAGCTGTGTAAAACGTAGGCTAACTTTTGACTAAGTCCGAAAAGTGGCTAAACTAAGTTAAGTTGAGTTGGAGAAACCAGCCCTATGACTGTCAACAGTGACGTGAGTGCCATGGCGCGAATGCGCTCTGACTGTGTGATGACAGGGATACTTCGTCTTGTCCTCGTTGACTCCTCGATTTCGGTATTGCCCCTACTTATTAAGCCTGCTATACAGTTCAATGTGAGCGTGAGCGTGAGCTTTTTATTTTGACCAACATCTTCGTTATTACTTAACTTTTTGCAATAGTTGATACATCAAAAGATAGAGAATTAAAATATCTTTCAGAATTATAGAAAAATAATTTAAAATGCATAATGCCTTTTTTTCAAGCTCACACTCAACTGTGTGCGTACGCAAAGCATTCGCATGTGAACGACAAGTTTTGACAGATATGTTTGAGCGTCCATAAGAATACAAATCGTCGCCTGGGTAAAAGATTGTCGTATGTTAATTTCGGTAGGTTGTGGGAAATTAAAATTAAAAATTAAATAATTTAAGAATTTTTTTAACTAGTAACATTTTCAGAGACTGGAGAAAATCTATCCTCGCGTTTTTGAGAAACTGCATTCCAAACTTCAATCGCGATTTCCCACAACCTACCGAAATTAACATACGATAATCTTTTACCCAGGCGACGATATGTATGTATATCAAATTGAAGGGAATTAAATTTCTTATCAGATGATACAAGGCACATTGAACAGGTAGTTTCGGTCAAGGTGTATTNCGATATGTATGTATATCAAATTGAAGGGAATTAAATTTCTTATCAGATGATACAAGGCACATTGAACAGGTAGTTTCGGTCAAGGTGTATTATACAAGGTGTGATTAACAACTCAGGTAGACTCTCTTTTAAGGTACTATTATGCCAAAAAATAGAGGCTGCATTTCTTTATTCATTCTGAACGTTTGGAATAAGCCAAGGCAAGGCGTATTTAACAAGGTGGTGTTGGCCGTATATAAGTAAACAAT